GTGGTGGTGGTGGTGGTGGGGGTAGTGGGGGTGGTGGGGGTGGTGGGGGTGGTGGGGGTGGTGGGGGTGGTGGGGGTGGTGGGGGTGGTGGGGGTGGTGGTGGTGGTGGAGGTGGAGGTGGAGGTGGAGGAGGAGGTGGTGGTGGTGGAGGAGGTGGTGGTGGTGGTGGTGGTGGCGGCGGGGGTGGTGGTGGTGGTGGTGGTGGTGGTGGTGGTGGTGGTGTGATTGTTATTGTTCGTGTTTTTTGTTCTTGTTATTGGTATCGTTGTTGTTCTTGTTCTTCTTCTTATTGTTCCTGTTGTTGTTGTTGTTCTTGTTGCTTCTACCGTGGTTGTTGACGTGGTTATCGCCGTGGTCCTCGTCCTCGCCCTGGTTGTTTGCAAGCACAGTTCATAAGAACCATCAAGGTATATTCATAAAGGGTAGTCTCTTGCCATTGTCACCATACAAATAAATACAAAAAACATACAAATAAATATCATGAACATACCAGAAAATAATACCAACATACGAGAAAATTCTAACAACATACGACAAAATATTGCTAGCATACGAGAAAAGCATTACAGACATACCAAGTTACTAGAAACAACTACCAGAAACGACATCCAAGTACCACAGCAACAAGACCGAAACCAACCTTGGCAGAAACAGCCGGCCACATAAAGTGCACAATACAGAAACAGTTAACATACAAACAAATACAAGCAAAATGCAAGAACATACAAGCTAAATACCGAAAAATAAGAGCAAAATACAAAAAAAAAACATAAAATACATAAAAAATAGATAAGCACTATATAGAAATACAAAAAATACAAAAACTCCTGGTTTGCAGGAGGTTATTTTAAAAATTATTCGCAATATGGCATTATATAAAGAAATTACTAGGTTTGGATACATACAATAGTAGTCTCCCCACGGCACATTCCAACGGCAGAACCCCCGGCAAGCAATGGCACGATATCGTATGTTCTCGAATGCCTATTGTATTTTTGCGCATGTCCATGGTATTGTTTCGCATGTTTTGGTGTGTCTTCGTATGTTTTGGTATGCATTGGTATGTTCTCGTATTTTTGGGTATGTTTTCCTATCCTTTGGTATGTTTTCGTATTTTGGTAATTTTATTTGGCCCCAACCAGTAACCACAAGGAACGACCATCTATGAAGATACCTTAGGCGCCCTAAGGAACAGTCATGTGGGCTTCGTTACGGATTCCTGGAAAAGGTGTTCAGTCCTCTGCATGGCAGCGCACCGGGTAACACGTGGCGATGGGCCAAGCAGGCATGTGCAGGGGGCTTTTGTCGGCCGAAGTCCCGGAACTTCTGACGGCGACTCTGGCTCCCGGTCCGGGAATCTGGGCTGCGAGCCAGCTCCCGTCTTTTACTTCCGGACAGCTGGCAACCAAAGACTGTAGTTAACCCAGGTCAACTTTTGACACTGTATCATGCAATCTCTAGTTGTTTCCTGATGTTGGACAAGAGTCTTACGAGGAGAAGACGGCAAAAGTTGCCGGCACATGCCTAGCACAAGCCCATTCGGCACGCGCCTCCGAGTTGGCTTCCTGCATCTCTGCATGCATGTGTGCAACACCGCATTGTTTGCCGAGATCTTTGCGCGGCCATCTGTTCAAGCTTCTCATCCGGCCAAACTATACGAGGGCCAGTAGTCCAATACGGTCGATGATATAAATCTGCATTGCCCATAATAAGCAATCTACCATAATTTCCATACTTTAGGGTCCTTAAGGTTATGCAGGATTTCTATCATCAACCGTACTCCTGTGTTGTACGTAAAGATCTCCAGCCTCAGAAACCGCGGCAGTGCATAGATCAGGTGTGGGAACCCAACCCTGTTTCGAACGGGGGTGCTGGCTCCGTGTCCCGAAATCTGGCTGAGGAGCTGGCCAGCTCAGCTGCGATGAGCATTTGTCAGCAGCCGACCCGTCATTTAGTTCCATACTTCGTAAATTAAGAACGTATCGCCGCTTCCGTGTACAGGGAGGAAGACGAGAGTTGCTCTAGATCGACTCTCGGACCGATTCGAACTGCCTCTAGAATGTACCGAAGAAACGTGTCGGGCGCACAGACACCCTTCAGGGATCCTAGCACCGAGATTTTGCGGGACTTCAGAGCCGGAGCTTGAGGACTATGAGGTGTATAAAGAGTTCTTGGTAGGGTTTAGGGTTTAGGGGTTTATATAGCCCTAACCCCCCAGGTACCTACTATATAGGGTACTAGAGCCCCTAGGGCCCTACATAGCAGGCACCCTGGGGGGTTAGGGTAGGATAGGTTTTAGGAGCCTAGGGTTTGGGGTTTGAGGCTCAGGCTTCGCGGGTGAAGGCATTCTTCCTGGCGGTGTTGCTCTCGAGATGCCCTTTGCCCAATATAGGGGCCTGAATAATTACAGTTAACTGCCTATACTATTTTGGGTTCTTTGTTCAAGTTATAGTATAATGGGCCCCAAAACCCTATTCTAATTATTATGGCTTCTTGCATACATGCCCACATCGATACATCCGCCTTGGTTTCGAACCTCCTTCGCAATCACCCGGAGCCATCAGGAGAATGCCGCCGAGCGACAAGAGCTTTCTGAGGTCACGCAGGCCCCGAGTTCCGACTTCGTGTTCTGAGATGGTATTCCAGGTGCTTTTAAAGGCCCTAAACCCCTGAACTAAAGACCAAGCTCTTGTCCCGTCCTTTTGTCTTTTTGCAGTTTCATTGCAACCCTGGGCAGCAGATTCGAGCTCCAAGTAGCCGGGGAGTTGCCTTCATGTCAGCAAGGCCCCTTTTGCTTGCTGGCCTCTTTGCATGGCTGCTGCGGATATGCCATGGCAATGCTGATCTTTGTTGGGCTGGGGTGCCGGACGATGTCAGAGATCTCTGCTGCAAGTCTGGAAAAAGTAGCTGCTTCACCCCTGAGTTCACTTTCGAACTCTGCTGTCAGGGGGCGCAAGCATCATCTGTGTCGAAATCGACCCAGGCTCCTCCCCACTTAGCATTCGACCGCAATGCTGCGTGTTTCGAGGAAGGTTACATGTTTACGTACAGGAAGTGCTGCGAATCTGCTGACGACCTGAAGATTTTCGTTGCCGATGGTGGCTGTTTCGAACATACCGGGAAGTACACCTACTTGAAGTGTTGCTTGGATCTGCCGGAGCTGGAACAGTGGATACACGTCGACGAGGTGAAAGGTTCCCCTACATCCGACTTCTATCAGATAAGGGGGACCTTGTACATGACCGAACAGGTGAAACAGCGGTTTAGGCGAAGTGGTGGCACTCTGCCTCCAGCTACGCTCGGCGGCGTCAGCCACGCTGACGTCCATAGCCCCTGCTTGAAGAGCTTTTTGTACGACTCCAGGTACCAGCTTCTGCCCATGTGGAGCGGCAGAGTGATCTTTCCTCCTCCTCCAAAGGACATCAATGTAGTTATAAAGTTCCGCACCCGCATGAGAGAAGCTGTGGAGTGCTGGGGGGATGCAGAGTGCCATCTGTACATGGTCAAGCTCGACTGGTACTCTGTGGAACACCATCGCTTCGAAGGTGCCTACATGCTACTGGGTTCTTGTTAAAGGATTTAATTTAAGTTGCCCTAACACAGAAACCCTTGTTGTGCACTATAGATCTTTTTATGGCAACTTAAAATTTAGCTCCTGAACAACAAGAACCCAGGCTATCGCTGCCCGTTACATGCAACCTCGGAGAAGCCGCAGTGACGGTCATTCCGCTGATTCTTAGCAGCTGAGAAGGTAAACTCTATATCCTTTTTGTGGGGGGGGGCGGGGGTGGTTTATATCATCCGACATATCCGACCATGATCGAAGAAAAGATTAATGACCCTAAACCCTAAACCCTAAATCCTGATTAAACTTCTTTTGGGCTAGGGTACTTAGCCCCTGTAAGGATTTCAGACCGCCGCATCTATGACGCGGCCATCCTTGGAGGTGCCACCTTTCAGCGAGTCCGGGAAGGCGGGGACTTAGTTTTAAGTTACCATAAATAAGGAAACCCTATTATTTACTATAGTTCCCTATTGATAAGGGGTGTATTTTGAGTTACCATAACAAGGAAACCATAGTATTGGTTATAGTACTATAGTTCCCCAGTATGGTAACTTAATTCAATTCCGTAACAAGAACCCAGGAGACGTATGTGTCGCGCCACCAAGGGCGCCTGGTGTTTTAGCAATGTGCGCCATCGTTTGCGCCTTGTCTTTGGCTCCGTTCTTGTATTGCCGCTTTTGGCGGCAAACCAGCAGTGACACATCCGCATCCAAAGCAAAGGCTCCCAGTATGGCCGTTGACATCTTGAGACTGCTCGCGGCATGGATCGTGGTTGATACCCACAGAAGACAACCCTTTCCTTTCAAGTGGCCTATATGCGACATGACCGGTACAGACATGGAAAGGTTGGAGGACGTGTTCGTGGTACTGACGGTCCGCTTGGTGTCTATGCACAGCCTGACGTTGCAGTCGTTTGCGATGAAAGTCGTGCGGAAAGTGGCAGTCCAAGCAAGCACCCAAATAGCATTTACACATCTGGCAAGTTTTTTCGTTCGTCCTCCGTCCCCGTGGTACTGTGGACAGAAGCTGTTCTTTGAGGACGAACAGCCAGCAGGCTCTTTGGCAGGTTGGTTGGAATGGATGCTGGGGGCGGCAACGATGCGAGACTTTGCCATACCAGACAGTAACAACTTTGATTCCGGCATGGTGTGGCCAGCATACCCAGCCGACGATTTTCCGAACCCAGCTTGGCCGACGTCGACATGGTTTGTCTGTTTGGAGTACTCGATCTTCTGGTTTGTCGGAGCTGCCATTGCAATCGAGTCTGTGCTGCCACACATAGTTCCAGCAGCCACAACGGCCTACATTGCCTGGATGTTCGTGGACTTGGACCGTCAGCCTCAAATGTGTTTCAGGGACTATTATCATTCGCTCCGGTACTGCCGGCTACCCTCTACCATGTTGACCCACTGTGCATGCCGAGCCCTTGCACGGCTTCTTGGGCCAACAGGATATCTCCGACAGAGGTGGACGCCTTTGGTCATCGCTGCAATCGGCGGGGCTCTCGCGCTGAGCACACCCATCGAGAGCCATGCACACTGGGAAACTTTCGGGTTCGGGGAGGCTCACTGCAGGCAACACTTGCCCTTTATGGTTGCGGGATTGCCCTTTCAGCTCTCGCTGCTCCTTTTTACATTTCTCGACATACAGCTGCCGGCGGCAGCAGCATCTTGGCTCCGCTACCTTGCGAATTTGAACTTTTGCATCATGGCTTCTCATCTTTGGATCTTGATGTTCTTCGACAAGCATGCTCCCGAGTATGTTAGTGCGTGGTCCAGTGTGAGAAACGATGCAGAGGGAAGCCTTTTCGCGACGCACCAGCTCATCGTCATCTTTGGTGTGGCAGCTCTGTTACATGCCCTGGTGGCGAAGCCAGTGCAGCTGATGGTTAGAGGAGTGGCAAGGTATCCATCTTTAGCGCCGCCGCTCGCATTCACTCATCTAGCGCTTTGCTTGCTGACCTGGCCACGCAACTTCAGTCACTACCCGCTGTTCACATACGGTGACAAGCTGCCGGGTGCCGCATCTTCTGCACAGTAGAGTGGGCAGGCGTGCCTAGGGACGCGAGCAGCCGCGACAAGGGTCCCAAGAGCGATCCTGAGGCTGGTGGAAGAGATCAAGGGACCATGGCTTTGGACTAAGTCGGACTTTGTATGCACTTATTTGCATGCATTTCGGCGATGTTAGCTCCACCACCGCCACCACCAACAACAACAACATCAACAACAACAACAACAACAGCAACAACAACAACAACTGCAGCAACAGCAACAACAAACAACAACAGCTACAACGACGACAGAAGCTACCATGATGAAAACAACAACAGCTAGCGATAACAACCCGAGCCGACAACCCCAAACCTTATATGATGGCCGACCAAAAACTATCAAAACCGGGGCACCTGTGCAACTGTGCAGCGACCCATCGATGTAGGGATATACAGTTGAGATCCTAGCCTTCTTTTGATTTCGGGGCGTAGGGTTCGGGATGTGTGGAGCCGTGTAGGGAATTGGTTTACGGATAAGGGCTTTAAATTAGGTTTAGGATTTAGTGTTCGGGATGTATAGGGGCTTGTAGAGTCCAGGGTGTGGAATTCAGGATCCAGTTTTTTGAGGTTTAGGGTTTGGTGCCGGGCGATCTCCTTCCGGTTTGGCAAGTTTTCAGGTACTGGTAGTTGGAGGTCAGCCCGATGTAAACGCAAAAGCTTCAGAAAGCAGGAGACCTTCACACAGACCTGGAATAGTAGAATCCGTAGAATCCTTCATGAATACAAAGACCCCGACTGACGGACCATCGTAATATGAAGCCCCATATGAAACTATAGATGTCTCTATTCTTGAATGGCAGGTGCTCAAAGAGCAAATCGCGAAGCTTCGCGGTAAAGGCCGGGGCGTACGGAGAAGCATGCAGTTTCCTGTAGGGACTGTGGTAGGGTTCTCTAAAGAAGGGCCCTAAAAGAGACCCTAAATTAGAGAACTGCCCAGAAATTAATTATAGGATGGGTTCGGGATACATTGTCCATCATCTTCCATACCACAATGAACATTCAGAGCCATAACACCATCGGCACATTTACTGTAGGGACTGTAGAAGTTAGGATGGGCTTTGAGGTTTTCTTCTGCCATGATGAACCATGGTTACATTAGTATTTAGACCACCGACTCCAGATTGATGTTCCCGTTTCCTATGGAATATTGATTCGGCATCAATTCTTGACCCTATAAAACCCTGTAAAACCGTATAAAACCCTATAAAGCCCTAAACCCTACTTAACCTTCAACGCTCAGCCCTGGAGCAAGCCCCACAAAATTCTTTCAGCTCGACAGCCCTCCCACCCGCCCAAAAAAATAGACAAGCGCAGTGACCGTGCGCTACGTGCAGAAGGGATTAAACCCTAAACCCTAAACCCCTAAATCCTAAACCCCTAATTCCTAAACCCCTAAACCCTAAACCCTGTGGGTGAGGGCTTTGAGGATTCAGGGTTCTTTGCTTCGACTCCAGGAGGGTTTAGGGTTTTAGGGTTTTGGGTTTTGGAGTGTAGGGTTTTGGGGTTTTAGGGTTTTAGGGTTTTAGGGTTTTGGGGTTTAGGGCTTTAGGGTTTAGCGTTTTAGGGTTTGGGGTTTGAGGGTTTTAGGGTTGAAGGTTTAGGGTTTGGGGTTTGAGGGTTTTAGGGTTTAGCGTTTTAGGGTTTGGGGTTTGAGGGTTTTAGGGTTGAAGGTTTAGGGTTTGAGGGTTTAGGGTTTAGGGTTTGAGGGTTTAGGGGAGCAATTGCTACATACTCGTAATCAGACCTCCGGCTTCAAGGCCCAACTTTTTCAGATGTTGGGGCGAACATTCGTACCTAGGTCAACTTTAATTCCAGCGCCTCCAGTGCTCAAGCCAAAAGAAATGCTTGAAATCGCTCGAAACCCTGTATGATGGAAGCCTAATTAGGTAGCAGTCTTAGGGTTTAGGGTTTAGGGTTTAGGGTGGTTTCTTCATAGAAATATACTAGAATTAGAATGGATCCCCAAAAACCATGTTCTCATCATGGAGTTCCCTCCAAGACCCTATACAGCCCTCAAGAAAACCCTGTCAAGGAACCTTCTAAACCTCTTATGGAAATCTGTCTTGAAATTTTTCTGGCCCCGACGACAAACCCCGCAGCTGCAATCCTTAAAGGAGCCCCATTCTCCTCACTACGCCCGTTGTATGAAATCCACAAGCCCTACACTTAGACCCTCTGACTTCTAATTCGAGCCGTTAAACTAAAGGCCCTACTTGGAGGTTCTCTAAAGAGGTTCATGGGTAGCTATGAGTGGGGTTATAAGTCCCGTATTATGGGTTGTAAGTATAGTTATCCTACTTACAACCCTACTTATAGCTACCCATGAGCCTCCAAGTAGATTAACACAGACAAGGCTTCGGGGCCGCAAAGATAAGGTGGGAGGCCAGAAGAACTGGACTCGGGTCCGGGACATACTGTAATATTGTTGATGATATAACTCCTGCATTACCTTACGGGCCCTAAACTATGGGAATTATGGTATATTCCTTATTACGGGGTAATGCAGGGTTCATATCATCCACCGTATGATAGTATAGGGGAAGGGGATAGGGTTTGGGGATGTAATGCTTCCGGGGGGGGGGGCGGCATTTTGGAGTAGAGCCAAATGGGGACGATAAGGGACTCCGACGTCTAAATGCACGAACTTGCTCCCAGAAGCCCCCGAGAATCCAGCAAGTAGAATCCCCTTAGAGGGCTCGCGGGGACTAGAAAGGTCCGTCACTAAGGTACTACTAACGGGTGCTTTCTAGGAAACCATTAAGGTGCTAGCGAAAAAATGGCCAGATTGCTTTAGGCTTCAGGCTTTTAAGTTGATTTTGGCTGGGGTCCTGCTGCGACGTTCCCTTCCTCTGCCTCGCTTAGGTTCTATACCTTAAGGCCACAGATGCCAAAACCCTCAACTTAAATCGCTGACCCACAAATCGAAACCCTTAAGCCGTTTCCCTCAAGATTTCCCCACCCCCCAAATCCAAAACAAACCTAGACTGAGCATGCCACTGAACCCTGCTCCTCCAAAACGTGCTCCCCCTCATGACTTCTCACCCCGAAGTCCCGAATTCTTCCCTCGACTTGTTGTAGTGGTAGTAGTCGTCGTCGTCCTAAATTCTTAAACCCCTAAACCCTCAACCCCTGAACCCTAAACCCCTAAACCCTAAAGGCCCTCAACGACTGAGCATGGCACCATCCTGCTTGAAGCGGTGACCTAAGTTGAAGATGCCGGCGAAGACGTGCTGAACCTGCAGAACCCCAAGGCTCCAGCACTTCGTAAACGAGGGCTTCGCTTTTAGGGTTTAGGGTTGAAGTTTTGGGGTTTAGAGTTGAAGTTTTCGGGTTTAGGGTTTAGGTTTTCGGGTTTAGTTTTAGGGTTTAGGTTTTAGAGTTTAGGGTTTAGGTTTTAGAGTTTGAGCCACCATAAAGGGGCATGGATTAGACATTAGAATACGGTTCTGTTGGGGGTAAATAATGTAGCATCATTGATTAATCATTAGAATACGGTTTTATTGGGGTATAATGAGGCCATACCGTGGTCCGGCAGGGTCCCAAATTGGGGGCGAGGGTGGTCAGCGGGGGCGGGGGGGTCGAAATTTTAAGGCTCTGGGGTTTCACCGTTCAGGCACCCCAGTTTAGGATCCTAGAATAGTAGCTGAAAAGAGGAACTACAATAGGGTATAAAGTCTCACCGCGGCTTACGGTGTGCACTGCCGCTTTGGGTATGTTGGGGTCCCGAAGTAGTAGTCCTCAGGACCTTGGCGGTTTGGGTGAATCTGCTGGGATTGTAGAAGATGGGTTCATGTGTAGTTATAATAAGCAGGTCTCTAAGTAGGGTTCCTTACTTAGGGGTTCTATGGTGTTTAGGGTTTAGGGTAGCTATATAAGTGGAGCTAGAAGTAGGATAACTATACCTATAACGCATAATTAGGGGACTTAAAAACCCTACTTACAATTACCCATGAACCTCCAAGTACAGGTTGTCCTCCAACGTATCCCAAAGCTTGAGAGAATCAGATTCCTGCGTTTCATTGCCGGAAGCGTTCAGAGTAAACCCTAAACGGTCCTAAACCCTGAACCCTAAACGGCCCTGAACACTAACCCCTAAACGGCCCCAAACCCTAAGTCCTAACCCCTAACCCCTAAACCCCTAAACCCTAAACGGTCCTGAACCCTAAACCCTACCTAACCCCTCACCCCTAAACCCCAAACGGCCCTGAACCCTAAACGGCCCTGAACCCTGAA